CCATTCTATGGTTCTATGATTCTAACTATGCATTGATTTGGTGCCAGATGTATTTAATCTAAGCCTTTAACTTGCTGCAAGTTTCTTGTTGAGCCTCAGACCAATAGCAGCTGAACCCTGCAGGTATCTCCTCTGGACCAAATGTGACTTAAGGGCAGAAGTTGCCCATCAGTGCCATAAGAATTTGGAATTCCGGCCGCACAGTCATTCACATACCTTCTTAACTGAGTAAAGCGTCAGGGTGGCCTCTCCTGTGCTATAAAGGCCACCTACAGCTTTTTCTCCTAGGTTTACTCCTTGGTAACGTAAGGTCAGCTAATGTCGTTCACGTTGCAGCTTATCTAACACTAAGTGCCACTCAGCACGTAAAGCCAAAGGCAATCAAGGTCCGCTTGCTTACGGCATTAGGAAAAACCTTGGTTCACCTTGTCCTTGGGCGTCCAGCCATTTCACATGTTTACTTTACTCTTGGATGTTTCAGACATATTATGGAATAACACAAGTTTCTTTTCTCCTCTTTCTTGAAAGAAATGTATAGCAAGCTGTGTAAAAATTAAAACAGCTAAGGACAAAGCAGTGAAGAGATTTATATCCTTTCAGCTTCCATCGTGCTCTGCGGGGTTTTTTTCTTACTGCAACTGTTCATTGACTGGAAACCAACAGATGAAAATTTTCTTTTCAGTGATTTAATGTTTTCTGAAATATTCCCAGCCGTCTGCAGCTCAGAATGTAACCCAGCAGCCCTCCGCCCATAGAACCTAATTCTCATTCCTTCCGCGCTGTGACGTCCATGGGCAACAAGCTATTTTAAGGAGCACTTAAGCTCACCCTAAGCAGTTTACAGAGCGGCGTCCCTTGCTTCTCTATCTCACACAGGTTAGCCGATGGCTTGCAGATATTTCTGACCCCCTTCATAGTCCAGTTCCGGGGAAGATGTCCCAGGTCAGAAGGGAGGTCATGAGTTTCAGGTGGTTGTCTCAGCTGACAAGCAGCAAAAGCCAAAATGGGTGGGCGTTCATAGGAAACGGTGTAGACACTGGTCATCACTCCAGCTTCCTTGTGACAGTTTTTCATCAGGTGCTCAAGGAGGCTGTAGTTGGTGGGTGGCTCTGAGGCAGGAAATGATTAAATGTTGGAAATATGAGAATTGAATTTTTTGTCCCCAGTGTTTTTACTCCACAGTTGTCATAGGGAATATTTGTACTGTTTTGACAGCAGATTAAGGACAAAACAGATCTTTTTGTTCCCAGGGCATGTGTGTCTACCCTCTGGCTGCAAGGGAAAATCACTGTTAGATGCCAATAGGACAGCAGTAATGGTGTAAATGTAAGGAGTCTTGGTTCTGCTAATATTAAGAACGTTAGTGGGGCTGTACGCGTCACTTAAATTCAGAAATGTAACAATACTCCGTGATTTCTCCTGCTATTTGTATCTCACAGCTCTCCTTGTTCAGCTGCTGTCCCACATCATTGCATAGGGGAGATTGACACTATCCTTCGCTGCTTCCCGTGGTGATTAAGGATTGAGGTATGGATAACCTTTCTGCTTTATCACTCAGCAACATAAGCTACTGACTGGGTAAGGAAGTAGCCAAAAGTCACCACAAGATCTATTGTCAGAGTTAAAACAGGAGGAGGTTCCTGGCTCTAAGTCTATATATTGACCGCTGCACCATGTGCCATCTGATTGAATTAATAATGCCAAAAACTACCAAGAATAGGGAAATCTGATTTCTGAGGAATCCAGGCAAGCTTGTGTCCATTCCAGCTGTGCAGGGGAGGCAGCAGAGGGTTGTAACCATGTCTATCGTATTGATCGTCATACTCTGATACCAGATGTCAGCTTCTTGGCTCCTCATGATGGGTGAAGAAGTGCTGCATCGGCAGGCCCTGAAATGAGATGTACATGAACCCATGACGTGGCTGTGCACGCAGCATCTGGACAGCGTAGCATGCTTTTGAGACAGGCTGTATTACCTGTGATCCCACCAAATTTTGTCAGTACCGATGTTACTGTTATTATCGCTTAATACCCGAAAATTGCATTTCACGTAAAGAACATTTCCAGTTAAGTCAAGGAACTACATCTCTACGCCACAAGATCTGATTAGGCTGATTTCAACACATGCATCACGGGTCTGCAGATACGTTTAAGAAGCCTGCAAACAAAAAGCTGATTGTCTCCTGCTGCTTCAGTGTTTCATTGTGCACGAGCTTTACACACACTACCTCCCAGCTGTCTGTCAGGAGAGAATGGTAAGAATATTTGGGGGTGGAGAGGCACCTTGGAGGAAGGGACATTTGAGCAGATGATACTGGTGGGGAAAGTATTGTTGTGAAAGACCTGAGACTCGTTTGCGTGCAGCTTGTCCCTATGAATCAGAGGTGTGCTGATGAAAATAATCCTCTTTTCTGGGTGAGCTCGTATTATAGCCTGGGGAATGTCCTGAAGACACAATACCCAGTCCTAGCTGGTAGTAATATGCTGGTTTTATTCATGTGCTGTGGTCACCCTCCAAAGCAGAGACTGGGAAGTGACCAGAGACTACCACCAAGGATGTGCTGGTTGGCTACCTCTGCAAGGCATCCTGCTTTAATCAAATGTACAAGGGAGCTCTGGGTCCTGTAACCTGCCCATGGAGTTGCAGTGCCTCCCTTTATGCATATAGGTGTTTAAGGATATAAAATAGAATGTAAATATTAGTCAAAGATCGTTGCTGTTTGGAATGTTGGCACGCACAGCCCTACATCTGAAATTTCTTCTACTTACCTCAAATTTTTCCATCATGGTTCTCCTTAGTGTTTGGTCTGGTTTGTGATCTGGGAAGCAAATGAAGTCTGTTTGGTATATGCTGCTGCCGAGTTTCCCAGTGGCTTTCATAAACTGGAGGGAAACACAACACTCAGTGTGGCTAAGGCAATCTGGTAATTACAGAAGCTCTGCTCCAGCGCTGCTTTCTTCATCGCCGCATTTAAAAAGCACTTATTTGGAAAGAAATCTGTGCTGTGGATTTTTTCTCAGGTGGTAGAATCAGCTGGTATCATCAGGCACGGTGAAATTCTGGACTGATTCCTCGGTCTAAACAGAAGATACTGTACAGCCCTTGAAAAATGACTCATGGTTTGGTGTTCAGTACTTTTGCCTGCCATGGGAACCAACATCTGAAAAGGATGACTGACACACACACACCCCCCACCTTTCTTTTTGGTCCCTGGCGCGTTTTGACAAAGTTCAATATCTAATAATGAAATTTTGCGCAGCTCTTAAGCAGGACATGCAACCTACCAAGCAGCTCTGCTAGAAGAGATGCTCGGGTTCATACAACCAAATGAAACCAATGTCCAGATTGTTAAAGATCCTCTGGTACAAGCAGTAGTAAGTATTAATTCACGGAGGGGTTAATGAATCCTCTCTTGTATGATGCTGGTATCAAGGGGTACATGTTGCTGTTGTACAGCTGTACGTAAGCTGCGCAGCAGTCTGAAGTGATGGCCATGAGAAGTGCTGTAGCATTTTTAATTGGCCGTCGTGTCTGGTGTGAACTGCCCAATAAAACCCGTGCTCAGGCATTACTTCTGTCCTGGCAGGTCATAAGCAAGGTGAATTAATGTAGGCCAAGCAAGATGCTTATCCTTCTTCATTACTCTGCTGAGGTGAGCCTGGGCTCTCGCTTACGACTGCAGCAGTGTGCTGCCTCCACAGCATTGGCTCTGACCCACTCCATCCCTGCTCTCAGCTTCCTTCCTGACCTTACCCTTTTCTGCTCTTCCTGCCAGTTTCCAATGAGAACTGTAGCCGAGTACTTGGGTTCAATTTTCCACCAATCCTGTCCCATCTTTGTGCGATGCAGTCATGTTACTCGGTCTCGCCAGCACTACCCTCCCAGGTTGTTGGATCTGTCCTTCACCGTATGTGGGGACAAGGTTACTCAGTAGTCCAGTGCTCAGAGTAGGGCAGGAGGGGGCTGCACTTCTGCCTGCCTGTGTGCTGAGAACGTGGGGGATGTGTGGAACTGCTCAGCTGTAGAAACCTTTGTGTTTGCTGTCCCCACAGTGACCGTTGCTCCAGTAACCACGTTCTAGGCTGCGTCATAGAATCATGGAATAGTTTGGGTTGGAAGGGACCTTTAAAGGTCACCTAGTCCCAGCCCCTGCAGTGAGCAGGGACATCTTAAACTAAACCAGGTTGCTCAGAGCCCTGTCCAACCTGACCTTGAATATTTTCAGGGATGCAGCATCTACCACCTCTGGGCAACTTGTGCCAGTGTTTCATAACCCTCATTGTTAAAAATTTCTTCCTTACATCCAGTCTAAATCTCCCCTTTTTTAGTTTAAAACCGTTACCCCTTGTCCCATCCCAACAGGCCCTGCTAAAAGGTCTGTCCCCATCTTTCTTAGAAGCACCCTTTACGTATTGAAAGGTCGCAATAAGGTCTCCCTGGAGCCTTCTCTTCTCCAGGCTGAACACTCTCCCATCTTGTCCCCATAGTAGAGGGGCTCCAGCCCTCGGAGCATCTCTGTGGCCTCCTCTGGACTCGCTCCAACAGCTCCGTGTCATTCTTATGCTGGGGGTCCCAGAGCAGGATGCAGAATCCAGGTGGGATCATGTTTACTGTGGAGCAAAGCAGCAGCTCCTGACCCACTAACATTGGCTGTGGCTTTTTCTCCATTAGAGTTCCGAACCAGGGCAGAGAGTGTGTCTCAAAACACGGTGATGTAAGTGACATACTCCTGCACACCAACACGCCACATATACCTGCACCACACACACTGTCTCCTCAGACAGACACGTTCTATTTTAAACAAGTGGGACAAACCAGGATGTCCATTCAAACCGGTGTTCTTTATTGACATAGCTAAGACAAGGTCTTCCAGCACGGTACAAGCTTGTATAGGGTTTGCATATTCCATGTTCCAACTAATAGCTGGAATGAGGTTCTGATGAGCCTTGTTATCATAGTTAATGCCTGCCCCTTACTGACTACCCATCACCTGATATCAAATATCCTAAGAAGATACTTTCCTAGGTTGAGGTATGAAGAGAGTCGTGGAATCTAAGATGTTTACTACAAGCTTTTTAGGAAGTTAACAACGCTGTCCAATCCCCTCTTCCCAGATGGAAATGAGAAACCGCAATAATCATACAGGCTTATGATTCCATGGAATCCATCCTCGAGGTGGTACCAGGTCACTCGAACACCGTTGTCCTCCAGCCGCTTCTTGTAAAGCAAGCCGTCGTCCCTCAGCACATCGTACTCACAGGGCGGGCCCCTGCTGCACAACAGCATCTTCGGCCAACAGCGGGCACAGGTTTGGCTCACACAATCTTTTCACCGTCTCATACACTTCAGCTATAAAATCAGTGGACGTAAGTGGCTTCACACCTCTGACCTTAAATTTTTCGGGAATGTTATCTGGACTCACCCACTTCCTGTACTTCAGCCTCATGTCTGGAGGAATATGGGAGCCCTCCAAGACCTCGTGCATATGCACTGCATCCCCATTCAGGTACTGCAGAGCAAAGAAAGCAGCACGTTCTCGGAGTAAGAGAGGGACTCCTCGATTTTGATGATAGGATGGTAAATTGAAGTCCAGTGCCTGAAGGCCTGGGTAGATCAAGACCTGAGCACGCAGTTTGGGGAGGGCTGATCTACATGCCAGGGTCTGGCTGACAGCAGCTGCTAGATTGCCCCCAGCGCTGTCCCCGCAGACAATTAGACGGGCAGGATCCACCCCATAGTGCTCTGTGTTCTTCATGAAGTGTATGGTGGCGTTAAGACAGTCTTCATAGGCCGCAGGGTATTTGTGTTCAGGAGCCAAACGGTACCTAGGACACAACAGGAGACAACAGAGAAGGAAATGTCATCAGTATTAACCAGGAAGTGGGATCCTATGCTGTCTTCCTGCCCTAGCGTTTTGGGGTGGTTTTCCTCCAGGTGAGGATTACCTCCTAAGCAGGCATTCCTCAGCTAGTGACGGTGGATAAGCTGTGGATTGTGTATCCGACCACAAGGGCTCGGTAAAGTAGGACTGCCTTGTGACAGGGTCTGACCCAGACTTTGTCACACTGAAAACCCCCCGTGCATTCTTGAGCAGATAATTTAATGATTTTGTGCCTCTGCTTCCTGTGCGTAAAGTGGGAGTCATACATTGTGATTATTCTTTTTCTAAGAATCACAATTGTTCAGAGAATCTTATTCTATGTTCATACATTCTGCGCAAGGAAGACTTTTTACCCAAGTTTTTGATTGGCTCTTACAGATTTTCTTAGTGTGCCTGCTATTTCCATTTGGGTCTTTTCTGAGTGTATCAGGGCATGAACAGTTAAGAGCTGTGAAATCTCCGTTATCGCTATTTGTCTCTTTAGGGACTTCACTGAATTCTATAGGAATTTCTGCAAAAAAGAGCATCTCCCACACCAGTGTAGCTCTGCTGCGGCACCACAGCAAGACTAATCTCCAAGCGATAGAGCTGGGTAAGGTTCACTTACTGAACAGATACAACGACCGATTCACTTTCTCTGGATATGTAGCGGCACACTTTTTCATAGGTGTCTGGAAAAGAAATAGTTACGTTAGTGCTTTGCTGTTGCCCTCGTCTTGGAGACAGCTAGGGAGCGCTCATTCCAGAAAGGCATGTATTTGTCTTCCGAGTTGTCCCAAAACACATGCCAAAACCTCCTCTTATTTCAGTTTTATAAAAACAACGCGAACGTTCCTTTTACGTTATTGTAATTCATCCAGCAAGTATCTTACCCAGACTTCCGAATACCCAGCCTCCTCCGTGAAAGAAGATGATGCCTCTCCTTCGCTGATCGGAGGCAGCTTTAGGCTGATAAACCCTCACAGGTACTTTGTTAAACTGCAGATCCTGGATAAAGAGCTTGGGATCCACCCCTAGTTTCCGTCCCTGTCGCACATATCGGCTAAAAGTGATCTGACTGCAAAGTCCGGTCTTCTCCAAAATCCTTCCCTGTTAAAGGTAAAAGAAACGAAGGATTCTTTAAGTCTTGAGTTAGCCAAGGTATACAAACTCTGCATTGCACTGCACTGAACTGTGTTTTGAAGAAAGAGCTTACAAAAAAAACCGTGGCAGTGTTGCAGAATGTGAGTGCACTGGGAGAAGGTACAGTAACAGCAGCACAAGGCGGCAGAAACTAACTCCCGCGAGGACTGGTGACAGAGAATGGCATCTCCCAAACACTCTTTAAATGCTTCCTGTATACTGAGTACTGACAGGAGGGGGCTGTTTAGTCCTTAGGTTTTGCCTTAATAAACCTGTGGAAAAGGGTGAGGAAAAGTAACTCCACAGTTGCTTTTCTTGAAAGGAATGCCCAGTCCTAAGAAAGCGAGAGGTGCCCGGAGAGTCAGAAAGTCAGACTGAAGGATCCAGTCTTCACATACCACCATGTGACCCCTGCTGTCTGATAAAACTGGGATTTGAGAAAAAACATTTTCCCAACCTCTCCCATCCTACAGCCTCTAAAAAAGTTACTTCCATTCCTCAAATCCAGTGCCATTCTAGCATCACGTCAGCAATGGTACAGAGGCCATCCCAACTGGCTGTCTTGGAGCACACACTTTAATCACCGGCACTGGGCGGCACCTTTGCCCTCGTTCTTACTTCATTTCTGCTTGCGAACAACGACGAAAGCTCAAACATGCAATAAAAGCTTCCACCGTTCTTCATTGCATAAGCGAGTGTTCCAGAAGCAGCCCCTGCAACGCGGCGGATGGGCAAATCTTAGGTGCCGGGCTGCGTTGGGCAGGGGAGTTGCTGCTTTTTGTTTGCACAATGGATTTACCGAGCAAAATCCAGAACCTTCCTTTCCCAATGCCCTTGCAATGATCTGGCGAGCTGGACTATAAATCTGATGCAGTAAGTGAACAGACAAGAAGCTGGCAACAGATTAATTAATGGAATGGAAGGAAATAAATGGTGACGGTTCAGTCGCTGATTCAGGCGTTAATTGTAAATGCCCCATGAGCATCTTTACCCACTCCCTTGCCAGT